TGTTTCAAATCGGGTATGAGGCCTGAAAGAACTCTAATTCACCTTTGTGTCGGCGATATTGTTGGTGAATTAGTGGAGCGAAACTCGCGTTACACTTGCAGTATTGCAACGCGATAGTGAGCGATACTTAGCAATATGGTATACATCGGCGGTGTTTAAATCACTATGCGGGTAGTTATTGATAGGAAAAATGCATCGGCGTTCGAACCGTAGCGAAAATAACAATATTTCCCAGAATTCAACGCTTATATTTGAACGGCATCTGCAGAATTGCGACACAAAATTTGCATACGTTATATGGGTGTTTGCGAGAAAACACAATATCCCCCAAATCCACCACTTTTTGTATTGTTGACGGATTTTTTTTCTTTCTGAACATTAAATTATAAGATTACGCGCATTTTTCGCTAAGTCGTTCATGTTTCCGAAAGCGCAAACTTCTTTCCTAGTGTCCAGTGCGACGTATTTGCTTCACCTTCGGTAGAGGCAGTAAAAGCTCCCCTCCGAAGGTCCATCTCTCCTTTTTCAATCTGCCCTAGGACTGGTTGAGCTTGCGTCTAGGCTGCGGAGTTGTGCACTCGTTCTCAGGTCGCGTGTACTTGTTAGTCGTAATCGTTCAAATACGTAACATTTCGGCAACGAAGTGCTGTTGTCTACCTTTAATGGAGCCCGCAAACTTCAAGGCATCGCACCAGCAACGGCTTAAGCTCGTCGTAATGCTTACACTGCTGAAGGTTCGCGCAGCCAGTGCTACATGTGCTACATCCGGCAACAAGTAAGCAGGTTGACAGAATTGCATAGCATAACGGTGTTAAAATATGACCCAGATGCTTACCTCACTTTTGAAACATGGTTTTGCTGCGACAAGGACCTATTCCCAGTCGATGTCGCTACGCAGGACGATGGGTGGAAAGCCGGGCACTTGCTTTGCAGACTAGGCTCAGCAGGGAAAGACAGTACTGCGATCTGATTCTACCGCAAAACCCATGCGACAAATCAATAGATGACAAGGTGATGACTTTCTCGGAGCGACCTTCTCTTTTCCAAACGTGATACCGGTATCTAAACTTGGTTACGAACGAGTCAGACGAAATTTTGACGCATGTTTTCATTGTTACGTAAATGCGAACGTTTCAAATTGAAGTCACTCACAACTGATCAAATAAAATACTTCATCCATATGTGTGGCCTCTTGACCCTCTTATTCACATACATATGAGCGCATCTAATCAACCGTCCTGAACAAGTCCCTTTAGCGACGTCCAACGTTATTGCTGATACGTACGAACGGTAGTCCAAAATACCGCATGATACCATTTGTGTCCAGGCAGGGGTCAAGGTGTTTCCGAGGTTCATGTGGTCTGCCAGGCCTCTGAACCCCCTGGTTCTCCAAAAAGTGGCCCGTTGTCTTCTGTTTCGGTGCTTTCTGGTACAATCAACTCAAGACAGCAGCACGTCCAAAGGAAGCCCTCATTCGGGCACTGTGGAGCTTGGAACTTTGTCAAATGGACCGATAAAAATAACCCCTATGTCGACAATGCAAGACAGTGTGTCACACAGGCAGATACCGTTAGTCGCACCCCTCCAGTACATCCCACGACGTCTCCAGTCAGCAATCATGTCCCCAAATTCCAAAATAATGGGCTCCGACTTGAGTCCGCTGGCAACGTTTTAAGTCAATGTCCCATCTCACAGAACAGTACATCCCACGACGTCTCCAGTCAGCAACCATGTCCCCAAATTCCAAAATAATAGGCTCCGCCTTGAGTCCGCTGGCAACGTTTCAAGTCAATTTCCCATCTCACAGAAAATTCTTCACTATCCCAATTGACGGCTGTCCGGTTTTACTGCAGTCAGACACTGCTTCGGATATCACAATAATATCGGAGAAGTTTTGGCACGAATTTGGGAGACCTCCGGTGCTTATTTTGGGGAACGACATTCACCGGGTCATGTAACGTGACCCCTGCCAAACTGAATCTCTTTGGCGTTGACCGGTACGATATTCTTGGTCATGCAAATATCTCATTCAGTTCCGTCAGCAAGGCGGTTGGTCCGACATACGTTGGTCTACATTAATGCTGTATCATTCGCTACTTCGCCGAACTTTTCAAGCTTGGCCTCGGTCGCTGATCCCCCACATAAGCAACCATTTGACTTCGACGAGGAGCACTCAGTTTTTTGTCCCAAGATACCAGTCTCGTGTGTTTTCTTGCCACGGGTCAACGCAGACTTCCGCCGCCTCGAACAACAAGACGCCTTCTTTACAGTATCTTGTTCCCCATGGGTAGCCTCAATTGTCGTGGCGAAGAAGCCCATTTGAGTTAGTCCGCATTTGTGCTGACTTCTCAACTGGTCTTAACGCAAGTCTCTCACGGCACTACTACACGCTGCCGCTGCCGCTGCCCGATGATTTTTTTCATCATTATGAGCGGTGGTCGTTTACCGCCAAGCTATTACCTACCTGCAGATTGCGGTTGCGCCGAACTCCCTATACGCGTTGAACAACGCACAAAATGTCTATATTTATACAATTGTCTAGAATAAAGAGGTCCTCCTCGATCTTTCAGTAGTTGATGGACACCATCCTCCCCGGCATTCCAAGTCTGGCCGCTGTGTAGACGATGTGCTAACTGTCGCCGACTCTCTCGATGAACTGCGCACGCAGATCGATATGGTGCTTCAACGCCTCAGGCGCAATAGTCATCGCCTCCGTCCTGAAAATTGCCAGATCTTCATGACTACCGTTAAATATAGTGGGTTACTTTCGATGCCCCTGGTCAAGACCCCCTACCCCGAGAACGTACTAGCAATTCAACCGATGCCGACTTCTTGAGCCTTATCAGCTACCATTCGGTATTTTTGCCTGCACTGCACAGTAGCCGGTCACCGCTCAGTCAACTTTCGAAAACAGACTTGCATCAGGTTTGGTCAGAACACTGTCAAGATGTCTTCCGCAAACTCGAGTCCCTGCTCAGCTCCAAAAAGCTACTAATGGTATTTGATCCTAAGGGATTGATTAATGTGACAGCTTCCCTGTCCATCACTAACGGCTGTCTCATGCTTGAAGAATATGTTATGGTGCCAAACTCTTTGTGTTTTGGGTCCTGAAACTGTTTGATCCAGGTTATCCTGTGATACACTGGATGAAATCATTTGCCCAAATGTAAGCCTACTGTTTGTATACCCCAGTGAATGAAAGATACTGCTGATACCATGAACAAGTCGCAAGAATTCCTCCAAGCCTGCAGTCTGCATCTTGGCCTCGAGCCTGACGATCCTCGACCCGGTTCCATTTGGATTACACATCGCGGTGCTGATGGCGGGGCCTATCTCATCTTGTTAAAGGCTTTATTCAAGTAGCCGAAAATTGTGCCCGTCGTCCCGGCAGCAACAAATAACCCTCTGCATGCCCTGTTTCAAATCTTCAGCCTGTACGGGCTGTGAAAGACTTTAGTGTAAAATAATGGATTGCTGTTTAGCTGGGAACGCTTCCAAGACTTTTGCCGCAGGAGTGCCATCACGCCCGATCGAGCTACCACACATTATTCTCCAAACTTTTGAACTTGAGGCGATCATGCCTGATTAGACGCGGTCGGAGGTTACACGGAACCCATCAGGTGGGCAACCAAAACGTTTCCATAAAAATGGAAGGACGGCTGCAGGCGTCAAAGCGGCTCCTTTCCAAATTGATCCTATAAAAAATTTGGCACTTGCTTCTACACTCAAGATAAGGTATTGGGAATATCATGGCTTCCAGAAACCATCACTTTTCGGTTTAACGCTTTTTGGTTTAACGACGAGTTTTTCCCCAAAATTGATTTTTTATTTTTTCGCCATGTTGGGCATGTTTTCGAGAGCACCGCGCTTTTTTTCTCATTGGCCATTTTAGTGCTTTGGTTTCAGTTGAGACAGTAACAGCTCCTCTCCTGATGACCGTTTTTTCCTCCTTACTTTATGCCAAAGCTGGTCGGGGGAGCGTCTACGCTGGGAATTTTTGCGCTTGTTTTCTTGGACGGTCGCTGATCGTACACGTTCCAATATATAACAGTGTCAGTCAATATATACACAATTACCAGGATGTTCAATTAGTGCTTCTTCTGAAATCAATACAAATGGCGTCGTTGAATTTTAGACACCGTTAGGGCTATTCAATTTGTTCGATTCACTAATATCAAGAGGCTCAATGTGCACTATCTTGTGCCTATATACCACTATAAATATGAATATAGCAGAGCATCTGACGTTTTATTGAGGCAGTATTGTAGAATAGTATGACTCCAAAAATTTCTGAATGTGCACTGCGACGTTCTCCCAGCAGCAGGTAGATTCGGCGTGAAATATCTTCAAACCAATACGTCAACACACAAGCGTGTTCGGATCAAATTGTCTGATCGCGGAAATCGCAATCATACTACCAGAATACTAGGCGTCTTTGAATCAGCGTAAGCGATAAATTTATTCCCGAGAGTTCGTGCACCTTCGAAGGCCACCAGTCCAACTATAGTGTGCCATAGTCCATGGTGTTAAAGTTCGAGGGGAAAATGCCTAAAGAAGTTCAAATTCAATGATGTTCAGCTGGACGAGCATAAAGCTCTCGTTGTCTTTAGGGCAATCACAGTAAACATCAACATTTAGCTGTTCAGTAGCTGTCACCATTACGGCCGTTAGACACAATTATTTAGGTGGGAATGATAAAGGTTTTCAACTCTATGTTTAGTTTGAACGGGTGAGTATTAATCGTGTGACAGCGGTGATGTTCAGAATGGACATTGATTTCCTTAAAGTTTGTGAGGAACTCACACATGAACACTTTTTCATATTTTTATTTAGGTTATTCAAAAGCCGCTGCGGTTTCTGACAGGGTGCTCCATCAATAGGGCAATCTTCTACGATTCCTCATTCAGTTCCGACAGTTTGCGTTATTCAATTCTAGTGGGCAGTTGTGCTCATAAACGGGCTATGTTAGCCTCATTAGGAATACAAGACACTACCTTATTTAAGAGTTGAACTCACCAGAACTGTAATGCGCAGAAAACTCGTTTCTTCTGTCCAAGCCATCATTGATCCACTCGACCACTAGTTTGTTGCTTGTTGACTCAACCGACGGTGGCAATGTATTTCCAGCCCATATTGTAAGACTTCTACTCGCATGCCGTTGTCCATGGTATACCCCCAGAAAATTCCCAAATCCACCAAGCTGAATCGGACAAGAAGAATGAAAATACGTGGGCATCAAGAAGAAGCAGACGCGTACGACGAACTGTTTGGGTGGAAACTAGGGATCACGTAGTCAATGTCAAATAAAAGAATAGGCAAAACGCTTGGTTAAGAGTCTGCAACTACCCACAATTTCGCTTATGAGGAAGGCTCGAGTACTCAATTAAATCTAATGAAATACACCAGAGTTAATGCGTGGCGCGATCGCTCATGCAGTAGCCAGTTACGATATAATTCAGTTGCAAATTACACCCACTCACATAGTCTTCATCATTGCAGTGAAGTAATAATGCACAATCAACCTTGTCAGCTGGATGTTCATAAAACGAAAATTTTACTGAACAAGTTTCATGACCTGCAACAATTTGGCCAGCGTGAAAGAATCCAGTGAAACTTGCTATTTTATTTCAATTTACAATCGTTCGCTTACTTTGTTTGCTAGTATGGCTCCAAAACCATGCCAACTTGGTTTTAGTTTACAAAACGGCGCTTAGTCTAGAACTTAGTTCGCTCGTTTGGCAACAAAAATTTGGCAACGTTTATCTAGCTTCATGTTGAACGTTGAACATTTCAGTGATAAGGCAGAGATCTTGAAAGTTACACCCTCAAAACACTTTCTATTAGAACAGAATGCTTGTTCGTCTCGGGTTTTGTGTGACGTCTTTTGATAAGTTGTCGGAACAAACATGTGGTTCCTACTTTTGGGTTTGTTCCAGTCGAATTCTCTGATGTTTGCTCTGTAACTAAAGACCAGTCTCGACCTGCGTAGTGCTCATTATCTAAGTGCAGTATGCGAGTTACTGACAATATTAGGCTTAATCACAAAACCCAATCGTGTTGAGTTGTTGGATACTACTTATGGGAAAATCACAGCAGTTGTGACGATGGGCTCGAAAGAAAACACTTCTTTTGAAGGCTTTGAGCAAGTTTCTGTACCGGTCGGTGCTATACCTTCGTCTGCTGGTCTAGAAACAACTGTTACCATTGAAAATCGACTGCGCCAATTTTTAGTTGCAACGCAAAATGAGACAAAATCTCCAAGTGCCAGGTTTCCTATGTACGAAATTACTCAAGTTGTCTTTTATCAGCCTACTATGGATCCAAGTTTGCGGTCGTCATGAGCATCGATTTAGTCTCATCCGCTAACTGAGTGTTTTTCCATTGTGCATACCTTGAACTTCCTGAAGTCTATGCGAATTGTACATCCTTCTGTTTGCGAAATGTGCCATGTCAGGTTCAACTTTTCCGGGTAGCCCAAAGCATAACCATAAGATTCGATGTATGAATCGGGGCGGTCAGAGTTGATTCTGCACTTTGTATTTCCTAAAATAAGTACAGCAAGTGAAAAGTAAATTGCGGTTTCACATAGTCACAAGTTGAGGAATCGCGTGAGTAATGTACTCTAAATATAGTGACTTTAATTCAACGCGAAATTTGATAGTTTTAGCTACTGTGATGTTTACCTTTTGGGCAGACAGTGTCACAACTAAGTTGACGGAAGACCACACTCCGTCATCCCGAAAATAAGCAAACGTGCTAGCAGTTTGCCGTTTTTTGCTCCGACCATAACCGCAAATGTACTCATTCAATTGATCCACACTGAAAGCTGCAGAACTTTAAGGGTTCGCTGGATTGTCATCATGGATTTACTAATGTGAGCATGGTGTACTCCTGGCTCTCCAGGTGCTCTGCGACTCGGCGCAAGTTTTGTTGTACGTATAACTTAAGTTACCCACAAATGGAAGTGATCCACTCCGGGTACGAAAGTGGATGTGAAGTCTTTCTCTGTGGGCCTAAATTATACATGGGTTACGAACCATTACGGATCTGGCGCTTTGGAATATTCGGCCCAACATGCTCATTCATTCAACCTTCATGACGCTTAATAACTAATTCACAAGCTGGCGTTCAGCTGGACCGATAACACAAGCCTAACTCTTTGTTGTGCAACAAACAGCACATCTGTCAAAGGCTAATGCGGTATTAAGCAACTCACAGAACAATTTCGACTAGAAGTTAGAAGTCAAAAATGTCTTCCCTTCGAACAGGAAACCGGAAAAAAACCAGAAAGCCAATACAAGATAACGCCCCTGTGGTGGATCTGCAGCATTTGGCCGTAAAGTACGTTTGAGGTGACGAGCATTTTATCAGCAGTACAATCAGTATGATTCATTCGTTTTTGCCTTCCTTCAGCAATCTGAACTCGAATGAATCTTGCTAAAGTAACTAGCTCGTGGTCTACTGCACACCATCTTCATTAACTTGGCACAAACTAGAGTGAAAAATGTGTAAACTCAGTCACCAATGGAAATAGTAAAACGTCCGGGCATTCTGACAAAAAGTGTGAAAATACGAACGCGTTCATTGTTGTAGATGTTTATCCTTCTGAAACATGGTCAGGAACGGAACCCCATTATGCACCATGTCCATGAGCTAGTTAATAAGGACAGAACTTAATTGCAAACTCCGTCCTAACTACCCAGGGAAAGGGCACATTGTTAAGCATCGTCTGACGATGTGTTTACGTCCACCACATTCTCAAGACATTTTAGGATTTTGTCCACAAATTCAGCATTATGCTGAAAAAGTCTACTTATACTGAAAAACACCTTATGCTTGCCCACACGGCGATAACATTGTTAATCGACAGACAGCAGCACAACAATTTATCCACCAAATCAACCGCGTTTGTTCCAATCGTGTACCGCCAAATGCAAACGGGCCATGGGGATTGAGGTGCGTCACCTACAAACACGCGGTCTGCATTGTTCACAACAGTTTGTGTGCTGTAATAAATGATGGAACATTGCTCACTTGTTTGGTACTTTACTGCGAAACCCTTGTGTGCAACTGAACCATCCGTTTTCATGTATATTCGCAGAGCGTTGCTCGTTGATTGGACTGATGCAGGCAATTCTGTCCCACTCCATCGATCTATCACGGTTCCCATTTCATCTCCAAATACATTATACACGCTCACGAAATCAAAATTCCGTTCGAGCTGAAAGTTAATCAGTGAACGAGCAGTACAGGTTGGATGTCGTCTGGGGTGCCAGGCACGGGAATATATAAACTAGAACATGTGAATTTCCCAGCAAGAAATTTCACTCAAATGCCTAAGTTGCTGGTGACCTAATCGACTATTTGAGCACGCTAATATCTACATAAAAAAACTGCAGAAGACGTCCGGTAACGGACGTATATGTTTTCCCGCGTGAAATCGGCCGAGGGCGAGTGGTCACAGAATCCGCAGTTGGGTTGTCCAACGCACCCACAATCCAACCAGAGTCCGATATTTTCCGCACATGCAAGAAGATTATTTAAAATGTAAGGAATTTAAAAACAGTGCTGTGGTAATGCTTATTTCGATCAGGGTATCGCAATCTCCAGAATTGTGTCTTCTAAGAGAGCAGTTGGCTTAGGCTTTTTGGTAGTTGTCACACATAGAGATACCCTCATGGCCAACCTATAATCTGATAAAATTAGAATCACTATATTGCTCTTCAGTTATCTGTCTCTTTTGACAGATTTAGCCCGCGGAACGTCTTTTCGGCTAACAAATCTGGTAAACTAAATGTGTTCGGAATTGCACACCGTTAGAACCTCAGTTGAACTGGTAATGAATAATGCACTTATTAACCAGTCGTCGAAACGGAAACTTGTTTACATGTGTATATTTATTCATGTGTATATACAGGCATTCAACAACGTGTTTCTCCCTAACTCAGTGACGTTGTGTATCATAGAAAACTCTCGTAAGTTCGACAGTTATACTATTTCTAGCAGTCATTGGGATCAACCAGAATTGTTGCAGAGTTTCATGGCCTCGTGTATATGTACACTATGATTTATTCCGGCATACAATTTCGGCGCGACTCAATCAACATGACAAAATGCAAAAACTATGGAGCTGGATGAGCATAGCGAGTGTAAGAAAAAATGTGGTAGTGTTTGTCTGACTTCGGGTCACTGAACTAGTGAAATTATCTTATAATTTAACAGCACAGCGTTTGGAATAAAGAGCAATTTTTCAGATGCCTTCCTTTTGGAATCGGAAGTGTGTGAATGCTATCTTTTTCTGAATGTAGGGATCTAGCGTGAAAAGTACGAATCATGGCGTTACCTATGTGCGACAATACCTATGAGTTTCTATGAGAATAGATAGCTTCCTTGCCTCAATGCACTAACTTCACTCAGGGAAAAACTCTTCTATCAGTTTTCCGAAAACCCTATACAAAACCTGACAAGGTTTTAAAGCAGAGCGGCGCATGGCCGGCATAATCGATGGTTCTTAAATTATCACTCATAAACGCCTTATAACCGAATTACATGCGCAAACTTTGTTTATCTACTTTGAGGTTGCCGACATGGTCCACAATTCATTCTGGTTCCTGTACTGACATTCAACATTCCAGTCGCGCATTACTTTCAGTTTACCATTTGAAACAAATTGGAAACTTGTTGACTGGACATCATTTGGAAACGTTTATGCAACTGATTACTTGAGATCCGCGAATCTCTCCCGTGTTAGAGATTCGGGCGATTTGCTTACAGAACTTTGAAACGTTACGAAATTCATCAGTCTTGTTCTCTGGGCCTTTTGCTTACCTCGAGTCCCAAGTACATTTTCAAACCAAACATAAACAAACGCAATATTTCAATAGTGTTCATCAGAGACATAATTGAACAGAAAAACTCACCAAGAAGTCAGAAAAGTTCAGCTGAATGATGCAACCTAGTGGCTGCACAATAATCCATGTATAGCGCAGCCTGTTTGTATATATAAAAATACAATCCACGCCTTTGTAGTATCGTAATTTTTCGAGATTTCCTCATCCTACATTTGCTACGCAGAAAAAAATTAACTCCAACTTATTCACCATGTTTAGTGCTATTCACCTCTTTGGATGGTGAACGTATTTCGGTAGACCAAAAGTTAAATAAATTCAAAACGGAATATCTATTCTAACTAGTAGTGTGTCGATATCAATGAAAAACAACAAGACACAAGGATTTGAATGTAATCACAGATAAATCCTACGTCTGAATATTAAATATGACACTCCCAAGACAGTGAGTGAGCAAGTGACGAAAGATCATCTTACTTTCCTTTCGCATTTGGCAGACACATTTACGGACAAATGTGTACGCTGACATCAGAAGCCTTTTTGAATTGAGGCCGTGAATTGGATTCACCGCGGTCTGTTTAGCTATTTTCCTTCCACATTAAATATGCCATCCTTGGCGAAGCATATTCAATCAAACTTCAGGTATAAAATCCTTAATGCCCGTATCAAGAGCCCGAATATTTCCAAAGATACGGCAGTTCTGGAGACATTTCCCGGGGAAGGACTGTATGATTTTCGTCCACTTTTGAACAAAGTTAGAAATTCGGCGGAGTGTAACTATTTGAGGATCTTCAAGACAACTAGGAATACACAGACCAACCGCGAACAATGGTGTATGGTTACAAAACTGACTCGTTAATGGCCGTCACCGTAGGGCTGGTGAGGCACAGAAAACAACTTATCTAACGATCTCTTAGTTGTACCCTTTCACAAAAAAGTGTCTCGCAGCTTTTACGGACCTCATCTATGAGACCCCGTCACTTTATTAGCAGTTTGAAAGAAAGTGTTGTATATTTTAATACCAAGTAATTGAGGCTTTGGAAATTTATCCACATTAGCAGAACGAAAATTTTCGACGTTTTGGCATGAACGAGATGTAAAGGTGAAAGGACCGCTATGTCATCTGCCACCATGAAGTCCGAGTAATCTCACGCTCGAATCCAGCTATTGTTGATGTTGCTGAGGTTAGTGCAACTTAAATGCACTGTTTTGAGTTCTAGGCTAACTATTCGAAGTTCACGGAGACACCTGAAGTGATCTGCATTCATTGGAATCGTTAGGACCACAGTGCCCTCTGGTATGGTGGAAACGTAGAAGTCAGTTGCTGCTTGGAGCTTCTCACAAGGCCTTGATGGTGAATTTTGCCGATAATCATCCGAAAGGAATAGCAGTGTAGTGTTTCGTCAAACTTAGTCGAATGAATAAGCTAGTAATCTCCAGCACACATACCAGAGTTCGAAGTACGCAATACAGTGTGTCAGTTTCCAGTTTTCCACATCGATAATTCTACGTTATCAATTTTTCACATGAAATTTGAGAAAACTGCTTTCAGTTTGGCCTACAGTAGAAAGAGATCAACTGGAATGCATATTTCAGAGCTCGCCAATGGCAGTATGTAGTCAGTTGTTCAATCAAAATTGCTTTAAGTCCCGAAAGTTTTGATTGGACAAATACAAATGTACGCCTTACGATCCATATATCTGGACATCTGTATGTGAGAGTTATTTTCAGCAAAATGATTTTCTTGGAGGAGCAGTTTGTTTACATTTTGGTCGTACTGGCTCCCGGTGAGAGCTGGTGAGAGTATTTTGTTTTCTAATTATTTCCGACTTGATTTGATGTACATTCCCACGAAACAATCAGTCCACCTTCCACAAATCTCTTATTTGTGCAATATCTGTTACATTTTGTATAACCCTCGGGAGATTGCTTGAAATGACTCATTTTTACTATTGAACCACCACCATTGTTGAATTTCAGCGCCATCATTTCTGTTGGCACAATACACTGAAATATCTGCTCTCAGGTTCCACTAGCAAATCAGTCCCATTTCATCCTAGTCATGAATGCACAGATCTACACGCATGCCATCAAACTAAAAGAGCTGCTTTGAAAGAACTGCTTTGTCGACAATTTGCACGCAAAATTGGTCGCAGAGGTATTTTGGGTTGGCAGCGTGAAAAACGTTCCAGGTATAGTTGTTTAGTTTTCAAAAGTCCTCGTATGCTGATTACATGGAACGTTATTTAACGAGTTACATTTCATAAGCTTTTTTGTCATTTTTGTTAGGAGTCTGTCATTCCCATTGCTTGCTTGAGGGAAAAACGCTTTTCGATGAAAATACTTGATCCCCATAAATGACCGCGGGAAACCAATTTCCATACAGGTGTCCGGAAAAATCACTCGCATTTTTGTGGGCCATAATGTCTTCTGATTTGTCGTTGTGGAATCTCCTTTCCGCATTTGTTCACCGCATTTGTTCACGTTAGCCACTGATCCTTCTAGTTATCTCGCAGGTTAATGGTTCGGTTTGGAACTCGTAGCCAAACTCACTGGACCGTGGATGACATATTTTCCCTCAAATGATTGCAACTGAGTTGTGATAAGTCATTCTTCACACAAAAAAAAAGTTCCTAAAATATTGGGCATTATATATATATATATATATATATATATAATTTTGCCCATTAAACCATTTGATCTACCAGCCACCAAATATAATTTCGTCAAAATACTTCCATTTGCGGTCAATCACCAGTATCCGAGAGAAAATCAGTCGGAGTATGCACAACCAACCTTCAAGCAGGTGTCATCACCTCCCCAAACTACCCGCAGCCATATCCCAGAGATTTGCTTTGGGCCTTTAACATTGACGTACCACAAGGCTGTTCTCTTCGCTTGAATTTCCGCGAATTTCGGGTAAGAAGAATTCTCAAAATGAAGTTTTCTATGGACTATTACTATTGATATATGATAAACATTCAGTGGTCAACGTGGGTATCTTAGATCTCATTGATTCTGATACAAACATTGCATTTTTCAAGGGCTAACACTTGAGAGATGGTGCATTGTCGAGTAGTGAGACAATTCATATAGCCACTGAAAATTTCTGCAGAATAAAGCACCAGGGAAACAGGCAGATTCAGGTTGGCATCTACCACCATGTTTCATCAATCACGGAGGTGTACGTGTGATTATAGGCTGCGTTTATGATCTTTGGCTTGTTCTCTGAGCTGGGCAGTTTGACTGCAAATGTTTCAACCCCTAAAATTGTGGTGATGGTGACATCAGAGTCTTAGTAGGTAGCGTAGTTGTGCGTGACGATGGGTTGATGATTGTGCCTTTTGCATTTAAAGTACCATTTGAGAGCACCTGGGTCTAAAGTTCTTTCAGCACCATGAATTTAGCACCTCGCATGCAGTCTGACACCAGGAAGTGCGTTGGCGCTAAACTGTATATAAGTAATATTTCAATTTGTGGCATTGATTCTTGCGAGAGAAGCGCGAATAGTAACAGTCGCATAACGGCTGCCTGTTTGCGTTTTCTATCGTTAAAAACCTGCGTCCAAATGGTGGGTAAAGGTTGTTAACATATGTAATTTTGACATGAATCAATAGCGACTGCCGACATCTCATCATGCAGAAATTCTCAGAATTCAATTGGCGTTTGATGTGTTTCCAGCTAGGGGACGACTATGTGAATATTACAAATGACACCGGATCGTTCGGCAGCTGGACTGGAAGTGAAAACCCCCCGCAGATTCAATCATCCGCAACGCTTTTGGTTGCACTGCAGACCAGCGACGACGGGACTCTTAATCCCGGGTACTTGGCGAACTATTCGCAAAGTGAGTTGACTCAAATGGGTTGAAATACGTGCTCGTATCAAAATTTGCACTCTACAATTCTGATTCCACTAGGTAACCTGAACACGCTCCTTACTAACTCAAAAAAGGAAAACAAACCAGAGACGTTTTTGGGCGTGAGATTAAGTATTTTAGCGTAGGTTTCAATCGAACAGAAACTGTAAACTCCATCGTGAACAACGTTAAAGTTGAAATGAGATGACTGATCAGGAAACTTCCCACCTCTGATGGCTGGAAATGAAGATGACGGTTTGAGCGTGTGGTTTAGTGTAGATCTGTCATATGGGTTGCCTTTGTCAGTAATTCTGTCCAAACGTATGCGGAGCTTATACGCATTAGGGCAGCCGTAATTTGTGGTCGGTCAAAATTCCAGACCCAATTGAATGAGTTAGGACGAATTTCAGCTTTTCACGAGGACCACAACGACATCAAATTCTTGGGACGATGTTGGGACGCTTGTGAATACCACACTTGGATTTTGTTTACCGGGGGCGTGTAATTTAACAATGTTTGACAGCTGCACAGTGCGCTGGTGCGGTTTTCTCAGACAATAGGTGATGCTTGAGCCTCATGCAGCGAAATGAGTATTATTTCTAACGATATACCTGCTCGTATTTGTTGACAGACAGTACTCATGAAACGTCGAATTAAATGGGTGCCGAATAAAGTGTTTTGAAATTGTTTTAGGCGAAAAACGCAGGACGTTATCCGACTGCCTGTGTAGCGCGCCAGGTGGAGTTCGTTTGCTCGACCAGTCAAATGACTGCCTTGAGGATTCTAAATGTTCCAAAAGGATGAACGAAAATGAGTACGTGGAGCGTGGAAGTAACAATTGTATGAAGCCGGATGTATCGTGCGTTGTGGCATATGACTGCAAATTGTTTCACTTTGATTTTGGTGGTAACGTTTTATGTGGCGGGTCCACATACGAAATCAGACACGAATTGCACGATTCATATGGCAGAGGTTTTGGCCGGGCCGGTGGTTGAGCATCATACATGATCTGGCGCTGTTAAAAAAAAACAGAGATTGTTGCGCGTACCTAGATGATCAGCTGCAACAAAGGTTTTCGGTGGTTGCTGTTTCATATACATGCAGAAAGAGAATTGAGTCACATCTTGTAGACTGTCAATGTTGGTTGGGGCCATTGGGTTCCGCTGAAGTAGCACAAGAATTTTACTGAGAATTTTCCTTGAAAATCCGTGTATTTTGAACATGTTGCATCGATCCATGTAGTAATAATGACTGCAATTGTCAGAATGCTTGTGAGTACAGTTGAAAATTAAACAAAAAACAAGAGTAGGACGCGCATTATCAAAGTGGAAGTGAGTACCGATTTGAAGGAACATCGCATAAACCTTCGGGAAGAAAGAAAAATGAAATAACTTATATCTCCACAGGAGTTGAGCTGAAAACTGCCCTCGGTTTACCAAGCAACAGCGTTTTGTAGGGGTTGTGAACCACTCAGTCCAAACTATTTGGATGTCACGTTATGCACAGTAGACTGTGTTGCTAAATACAGTGGCCAATAGAATGTGGAATGACAATCGATGCTTGGTGTGGTACGGTGTTATGGGACATTCAAGCTATGACTACTGGGTGCTATGCGGAATGTCACGTGCCTAAATTCTGTGTTTCTGTTTCACCATATGGAAGTAAAATTTGCATGGTTTACGGTAAAGCGGTTGCAGATAAATGACAGTCCTTGCAAATATTGACGTTTACCAGAAATCTGACTGTCGATTACCAGTCGTATACACTTTTATCCAAGGCTGTCCAGAAAACGGTGAGTAATGTGCGCCTTTTACGCCAAAATGTTTCGTCACTTACTCACTCACTGTCTTAGGAGTGTCATATTTAATATCCAGGCGTAGGAGTTATCTGTGATTGCATTCAAATCCTTGTGTCTTGTTGTTTTTCATTGATATCGACACACTACTAGTTAGAATAGATATTCCGTTTTGAATTCATTTAACTTCTGGTCTACCGAAATACGTTCACTATCCGAAGAGGTGAATAGCACTAAACATGGTGAATAAGTTGGAGTTAATTTTTTTCTGCGTAGCAAATGTAGGATGAGGAAATCTCGAAAAATTACGATACTACAAAGGCGTGGATTGTATTTTTATATATAGGAAGATTGGAAAGGAAGGGTCTTGTTCCCATCAGACAGCTGAAATTGATGTCCTTCATCTGCCAGTGTGTATTATCAGTACTATTGTCATTATCTGAACTGAGGCATACTTCTGGAGCAGAGAATATTCTGAGAAATCTCTAGCAAATTATCCAATATCACAAGCCCACCTGGAAAATTCGGATTTTAACCGGTATATGATAAAGTGACAAAGTGTTTTGTGTGACATACTTTACCACAACTGTTTGCCAAAGGCCCAAGTAGGGCAAGGTTCTGAAGAGCTTTTAGATTCCTATCTACCTGGCCATGCTTTGCCAGTAAAATGCATTAACAATCGTTTGTTCAATTCAGAAGACAGGTCAGAAAATGAAGTGACCAGGAATGAATCATTCTATGCCTGTTGTTCAACGTTGAGTTCAGGAAATGTAACATCACCTGGTTACCCAAATGCGTATCCAAACAGGCTGCGCTATACATGGATTATTGTGCAGCCACTAGGTTGCGTCATTCAGCTGAACTTTTCTGACTTCTTGGTGAGTTTTTCTGTTCAATTATGTCTCTGATGAACACTATTGAAATATTGCGTTTGTTTATGTTTGGTTTGAAAATGTACTTGGGACTCGAGGTAAGCAAAAGGCCCAGAGAACCAAGAATGATGAATTTCGTAACGTTTCAAAATTATGTAATGTTTGCCACTTTTTTGTCATTGTCAGAGAGGTGCATTCTTTTTAGGTAAACTTGGTTCTTCAATCTTATCGACTGAATCCAGTGATTCCTTTTATTAACCAATCCCAGGAACATGGAGAAGACTCTGTTTCTACCCGAACCTTGCAGATGACCTCGTGCGCTATGCAATTCTGATATCAAGTAGCTTGCCATCCATGGCAGCAACCGTCATTTTGATTGGTGTATCCCAATAATATAACACAGTCCCGTGAAAATTATAAAACATTTACGTGACAACCGTTGAGTTGCACTGGTCCACAAGACATTCTAAAGAGAAACCACTCCAAAACTAACTCTATTTCATCGATTATTCTTCACTCGAGGGCTCCAAACATGATATTTCTCGCTCAGCACTTAACTGAAACGGTCTGAACAACGACAGGCGACAGTGGATCACGTTAAAATATATCGCTGAAGAATGACGGAATTTAAGAGCCGGCTTTCAAAATGGGGCGAGCTAAGTACAGTCCGAGAGACATCAGGCAACGATGCCCGGTCTCTTAACGAGATTTTGCAGGTAACAGAGGTCTTTGTATGCAAACTTCAAGCACCATGCTAAAGTTAATTGTTTCATCGATGTCTAAGCTAGCGAGAAACCCACCTAGTATGGCAAGAGGAACCGTGCCATCTTCAACCTCGTTGGTTTATGTGATTTGACAACCCTTAGAGATATGCGCTGAATAATTGGCCATGGTTATAGCTAAACCGAAACTAGGCGGTGAGTATTTGTCGTACCTGAAAAACCAGTCGTAAATTTGCCTGTGCAGCTCGATCAATCGGTGCCCTCCGATAGTGACAGTAATCCCTCCAAATGATCCCTAAAATTGGCAGTTGTTCGTCCACGTCACTAAGAAACCAGCTTGAACTTAGAGTTGTGAGATTAGATACCGTTTAATATACGCCTGGTTCGTGCAACCTGGTTGGGAATTGTACCAGAGGCAAAATTTAGCATCTTCCCAAAAAATGTTTGGCTACTTGCTAAACCTTTAAAGAAGTGAGCCTATCAGATAATCCAGCATTTCATTCCTGAATGTGCAGAGCGCTCCTTCTGACTAGGTTTCTGTAGTAACTGAGTTCAACACGTATACCGGTATAACCAGACGAACTAGAATTTCGTAATTCAGCACAGCGTAACAATTAGCAAATATGTATTCGAATTGATGTGTGTATGCACTTGGAATATTAGAACAGGACAGCATTAATCATGTTCGTCTAATCCGCCACACCTTGTGAGTGTGGATGTGTATAGCTCCATGGTGGTCATGATCATACTCTTTTGGACTTTCTCGGATTGGAGACTTCAATTCCTCTGAGGTGGCTAGATAGATCATCCAAATCGGCAATTGTGTCCATACGTTTCTCATTTGATAAAAGTATTATGGCAGTAGCAGGCTGCACATCATTGCCTTTGAAAAGCATAACATTCACCGTTTTGGTACATTTAAGAATTGTACGCAACGAGCGATATGTAAAAAGAAACGCGGGACACTTCCCAGTAACAGAATGCACGTCGTTCCTGTAATTCCACAATAAAAGGAAAGCATAAAGTAATGACAGATTTTACTTTTTGCACAAAATTATGAGCAAGCCCACACATACTGTGCATCATCTTAGAGTGTCACCCATGGCTCTGGAATTATTAACCACATCACTTAGATGCAATTTATTATTCATAAGTTTGCTGAAATCTCCTTGACAGTCGACCGCTGGTTTCAAACTTTTTGAGGCTTATCAGGTGCCAACCTTCTACCCTAATTGAATCCGAACTGAACGGGATTCGCCCACTTCTCGTATTTGCACAATAATTCCCTTTTAACGGAAGATCCTAGTGAAACTAACTCAATCTCTCGTCTATGGTATACTCGGATATCACGAATATCGTACCAGCTGAAGCATGGAGCAGAACATTCGGTCAAAGGAGACAATCCCAAAGCAGATATTCAACTGGATTCATTTGGGTCAATTGTTAAAACCAGATTAGTGTGCAAATGAGAGTATATGAAGAATCACATCACTACTAGTTGCATCATCATACGGAATTTGTAAACCGCTTGAACTAGACATTACTCAAGATCGAACAATCATTTCCTCCGTGAAAAAAGCTTGCATTGTCCAGAATATTTTGGTTTGCGTAATCAGTGAAACCAAGTGGAGACCAACGAGAAGGCTGGCAAATCAGGCTGGAGAATTAGACCTCGACAATGTTTTTTACAGCCCGCATTACAAACGTCCAACAACCTGGGTAAATTCGTTTCATCATTTGGACTCACTTCAAGTTTTAGGAACATTGCGTCAGCATATGTTTACATAGTCATTTGGAAGCGTATATTTATTCCAACTTCACTGTTTACGACAGCATTTGTTCGTTTGCGACTCAGATTGCACACAATCACAGGAGGTTGACTTTAGTTTTAACCTGCAGATCTCGCAATGTCCACATTGTGCGTTCCCTGTGAAACAACTCAGGGCAAT